CTGTTTTTCACTTGTGACTGAGCCCTGTGGGGAGGACTCTATGGATTGTCTTCAGGACTCTATGGAGCTGAAGGATAGGAGGCTCTCCAAGAAGATTGTTAGGTTAATAACCGGGCACTGGGGCTGGGGATTTAGCTCAGCGGCAAAGCACCTGCCTGGCAAGTGCAAGGTCGTGAGTTCGGTTCCCGGTACCAGAGAAAAACCAAAAACCAAAAAAAAAATAACTGGGCACTGATGGAGGAAATATCCTTCCATTCATGAGGCTTAAAAAGCAGTAGGAAAATAGAGGAGCAAACAAATATGTTAAAAATGAATAGTTTTTAGGAAGAAAAATAAAAGCAGGTAGAGAGACAGTGAGTACAGGAGATTCAGGTGGTTTTTAGGAATAGACTGTTATTTTTACTATGCTCGTCCGAAAAACTTCTCTGCTAGGTGCTGTGTGTGCAGAGACCTCATTGCAGAGGAGGAAATAAGTCAGAGGGGCCTCAGTGGTAGGGTATTCTTAGAAAAGAGAACAGTAAATGGGAAGTAGATATGAAATTTATATAATTAGGATAAGATTCCAACACGTTTTAGTTTCAGATCAGTGACCCAGTGCTCTGGAAGTTTCAGAAAGTAAAACCCTCAGTCCCTGCTTGAAGGTGCTCAGGAGAAGGTGAAAGCATGTCTACCTGGAGAGACCTCAGCAGTGCCGTGCACATCAGGGGTCTGGGCCACTGGCCCTGATGGAGTTAGCAGAAAGTGGGTTATGGAGTTGGTGTGGATGGTCCTCAATGTCATCAATGCAACAGTTGCCCAAGAGTCTTGGATCTGAAGAGACTTTGTAGAAATTAGATGGTGCACACAAGGAGAAGGTGCTCACAGTGGGGCCTAGGGGAGTGAAGGCATAGGCTGCAGGGTTCCCAAGGCCCATTCATGCCTTAGAACAGACTATAGTCCTTACTATTATCTCCCAGGCCCAGGAGCATCCAGCCCCTGCCTATTTCTCCCCATGAGTTCAAGGACAGCCTGGGCTACATAGTAAGTTCAAGTCCAGCCTGAATTACAGACCTAGACCCCGTCTTAATATTAAAAGAAAGAAATGCTGCCAAGGAGAGAAGGAGAAGGTATCAGTGCAACTCTACCATGTTTAAGGAAGAGGTGCCTTGGCTCTAGCACACAGACATGCCTGTCCCTTGACAGAGTCCCTCGGAGTGGAGGTGCAGTACCAAAGCGGCGTGACTTGAAGTCACAGGCACTAATGTTATTCCTCTGTTCTTAATCTTGTCAACTGTCCCCGAGGAAAGAATGCGAGCATGGTTGTGAGCATGGACAGATCTATTCTTCATTGTGTTGCATGCCTAGGAACTGTTTCTGCCTGTCTATCTTTTGTGAGCTCTGTCAATCATCTGCCAATATTAAAAGTACACATCTTGCTCACAGGCATGCCCAGGGGTCCCTTTGTTGAGCTATGGCACAGTGGGTTTATGTCCTGGGGTTGAGAGGGTGGGATTACTCCACATATTGTTCAACCAATCAGGTAAGAGGTCCTTGGCAAGAAAAAGGACCACAGGGAGTAGACTATAAAGCAGATCCAGAAGACCCTTGGAACTGCTTAGGTCTTACCCTTTAGAGAATAGACTTTTACTGCACATACCAGTATACTCTATGAGACACATGGACTTTTATGAATTAACGATCCCAAATTAGCTGGATTGGTGAATGAGAAAAAAAAACTTTCCGTGGAATGAAAGCCCAGTGTTTTCTTTCGTGCAGAGTTTTTGAAAAGCTAGACTTTCCCCAGACAGAACAGGAGCTGAACCAATCGCCCTATTCGTCTCCCCAAGGTTTTCTCCAGAGCCGAGTATCAGACACCTGTGGAAGGCTGCCCCCTGGTGGACCTTACTTGAACTTCTTTTCTTGTCCTGTGCTTGAGATCCAGAGGTCTAACTTCCTTCAAAAAGTTCCTGATCCTTCCATTTAAACTTTGGAGCTAAGAACACCTAAATCCATTTTACTAGCTCCCCAAACTTTTGTGAGTGAGCTGGGTTTAATATCAAGCATGTTGAAATGTGCTGCTGTGGCTTAGAGATCTCATAGCTACACAAAGAGAAAACACAGAATTATTTGGTTTCCCCAAGATTTGTAACTATTATAACCCAATAGTGTACCACAGTTTACACAGAAAGAGAGCAAGTAAGTGAGGAAGAAAGAAAGAAAGAAGAAAGAAAGAAAAAAAGAAAGAAAGAAAAGAAAAGAAAAGAAAGAAAAGAAGCTTGTAGCATTAACCAGCATGTGAATAAGAGCAGAAATTTGTCTCCCTGAAACCCAGGTGAACTGGTAGTGGGAACACGGCATGGACTTGGTAGGGAGCCCACCCCGAAGTGAAAGGCCACCTCGTTTCCCTGCATTAGCAGATGCTGCCAGCCAAGAACAGCTGGGACATCTCAACCTTGGGGCCCCAGAGGGTTTCAGCCCTGGCATGCTGATGTCCTTGTCCCACCCACAGACCAAATGAATCAGACTCACTGTAGAGGGGGTGAGGTTCAGAATCGGCATTGTTTTGCAGAAGTCTCACAGGTGAGGCTGCCTGGAACATAGACCTAGTGTGCTCCTCTCCTTTGATGAGGGGGAAATTGAGGCTTAGGAAGAGGAGGCTGCTTGACCACTTGGCTAGTTAGCGGGAAAACTGACTAGACTGATGAGACTGTGGAAACTGGAGAGCCTTGAAGAGAGATTCACTTTGAATTTCTGAATGGCGGTTCTGTGACTTCTGGTGTGACACTGGGTCAGACCCAGAGGTAATAGACAAGGCCACATCCTTGCAGCTCCTGGCCCAGGTTCCCCCTCCCTGCCCCCCTGTGACCCACCCTGCCTCCCAGCTACCCTCGCACTGCCTCTCCAGCATGCTGCCCAGGCCTGGCTCTTCTGAGCTATGCTCCATGCCTGGTGTCATATAAATGAGCCACGGACAGCCTCTGTCTATTGAAGCCGATTTGTCCACTGCAGGCTGAGGTCAGATTCATGAGCTCAAAACCTCAACCAATACCAAACTCCAGTGTTTACACAGCTATTCTAAATACAGCCACAATCATCAGGTCTTTGGCCATTTAGAGCCCCATAAAACTACCCAGTACATATACCCCAGAAACTATCCAGGACTTCAAGCCAAGGATAAAGCCCACTCTGAACCTTGCTGCTGAGCAACATCACCAAATGTTAAAGTTTATGTCTGGATGTTCCCCCAAAGCCTCATGCAGTCACGGGGGAGCAGACTTTCCAGAGGGGGCTGAATCTAGTTTGTGATTGATTCATGGTCCAATGCTGGGATTACGGGTGAAGTGCTACACCTGCCCTAGGGCAATTAGCCTGCATACAATATAAGGGACAGAAAGAATCCTGTCTCTCCCTCTTCCGCTGCTTTTGCTGTCTTGTACAGTTGCTCCTCTACCAAGTACCACCCTGCCTTGGAGCCAGCCGATTATGGACTGAAACCTTTAAACCTTTCCTCCTTTAATGTTGGTTATTGGATATTTTGCCTCAGCAATGAGAAAAGTAATTAAAACACCAAGACATGTAAAGATCCCCTCCATGGCCCCTCCCCGCTTGGAATTGCCTTGTCATTCTCCTCTTCTGAGTAGGTTCCTGCCTCTCTGTCCTAGTTTTTCGACAGATTCCTGCCATGAGGGACATCTATGCAGACCTCTCAGAACCTTACCCAGTAAAGCTGGTGAGTGCTACTGCCACCTGGTGGTCATTTCTTTTTTTCTTGTCCAGTCTCCAAATTCCTGGGCTTTGCTTTTCTTACTGATCTCTCAGATGGTATGTGGTCTGAGTTCCCATTCTCCTCAAATTGCTGACCAATATATCAACCCATTAATTCCTACCTGTATTTTAGTGGCCAGCTCATGGTTCACCAAGTAACCATTGCATACCTAGTATATGCCAACCACTGATCAGGGTATTTGGGGCACATAGAAAATTAAACTGATGGAAATCCCTGTGTGTTAGGGTGATGTTTTGGTAGGATGGTGATGGCCCAAAGATTTCTCACTGGGATATCTTACAGCACTCTTGGTGTCTAAATAAGGAAGTAAGGAGTAATTTCAGGTATGGTTAATGAATGCAGGGATGTGAATTGGGATTATAATTATGAGAAACACTTTGATAAGAATACCACAGCTTATGCACAGCAAGAGCCACATTTTAGAGCAACATTTCTCAAACTTTCACCTCTGTGACCCCATGAGAGGAGGTTAAGAAGATCCAAAACCCAGTAGTCTGATGTGAGGCCTGGGAGTCCTCATTTTAACTCACGAGTGGCACTGAGGCTGCTGACCCACAGTTCGCACTTGGAATAACAAGAATTTAAGCCAATTTCTTTGTGCACTGGTTCTTCCAGGACTAGCAATAGTGGTAATATTAATGTTACTACTTACTACAGAGGACTACTGCCAGGATTAGAGGAGGTAAGTCAGTCCTCTACATTAGCCATCATCTGCATTTTAGAGGCCAGAAAACTGACTCTCCAAGATGCTAACTAACCATCCATGTTTACACAAGCCAAACAGGGGAACCAGGCAGTGACTGCAGGACCCCCCTGAGTGCCAGTGTTGCTGCCTTGCCTCTCACTGATCTGTGAGCTGCTGCTTCACTTAGTGCAAAGGCCCTGAGCTTTGGTGACTCTTGTGACCCAACATCGTGTGTGTTGGTTGGGCACAGCTGGCTGCAGTTCATTGATTTTCTTGGTCATAGAACATTGCATTATATGCAGCTCAGAATTATGTGCTCAGTCCTTCAGTGATGGGTGTTTGGTTTGTCCCCATCTGGGGCTCTTCACGGACAATGCTGTCTTACGCCTTATAGGCAGGGACATCTGCTCTGAAGTTATCCAGGGATAGTGAGGACCAAGGAGGAAATGGACTTTCAGAGGCCCCTGGAGTGAGAAGAACCTCTGGCTTCCCTACCCCCCAGTGCTTTCTGCCTGGAGCCTGTCACCACCAAGCACACAGCTAACAAAGTAGGCATTTTCAAGATTTTACTGTAAAACATAGCTAAAGTCATAGGGAGTAAGAAATTATTTACCTAAGAACGTACAACACACATTCACTGAGTACCTATCAAGGGCCAGGCCAGGCGCTCTGCCCCAGAGGGAGCCAACACACACAATCAGGCTTTCTGCTCTCGGGAGCTCCCAGTCTGCTGGGGGGCAGACAGCTACGCAGCCATCTTTCTTCGGAGTCTCAGTTCATGGGTTCTTGCCTCCTTGGCTGCAAGGGAAGGACACCGGGGAGCCACATTTGCACAGTGCAGAGTTGGGGAACTTCCCACGGGAGGGAAATTACTGTAGGCAGCTGCAAAAGAGATCTGGAGTAGAGATGGTGTTTGGGGCCCCCGCAGAGAGGCCCAGTTCTGGGAAAAATGTTGCAAAAAGTAAAAATACACTAGAGGGCCAATGTAGTCCACTCACTTGTAATTTTGGCAGTTTGAGATATTACCAAAAAAGAAAGAAAAACTATCACCGACTTCCCCATTTCTGCCATCATTTCACACGGGAGGAACTTTCTAATCCTTCGGCCCCTCTCAGAAAGAACATAACCTCCAAATGCAGGATTCCCTTCCACACTGAGTAAAGCTGGCTTTAAAATTGTCATAAACTTGTTTCTATTTCCACCGATTCTTAAAACTGTCCCTGTGAGCTGGGGGCACATCTCTGGTACAGCGCATGTGTTCTTAGTATGCATGAGGCCCTGGGTTCAATCCCCAGCACCTACAACAAAACAAGCAATAACAAACCTCCCCATGGACCAGCACCAGCTGGTGGGAGTCACTCAGTGGGGTCAACTAGTACCCTGCTGGATCTGGGCAATGGATAGTGGGGCAAGGAAGAAGGGCGAAGGGGAAGAGGAGAGCAGGCGCCTAGAGCCAGCAGGTGCACTGTGGCATGCGGGGGAAGGAGCAACTCCAACTGGGCAGTAGTCTGGATTTCACCTGAAAGGCAGAGGTGAAGGGCTTTGCGCTGGGGCTGTTTGCACTTTGAAGGACCATTCTAGAGGCAGCAGGGAGGCTGTCAGTCAGAGGCTGCAGGCAGAGGCCTGCCAGCAGGGCTCTTGGGCTTCCTTCCAAAGTCCACCCGCAAAAGTTGCTCCTTGAATCTGTGACAGCCAGGAGCCTCCTGAGCAGAGGTGGAGAGGCAGTTCTTGGAGTCACTGATGGCTGGGAAGTAGGGAAGGGCCGGACAGGGCAGTACTACTTGTCCTCCTGGAGGTAGAACTTGGTGATCATGCCAGAGTCCTCCAGGTTGTTGGTGAGGCGGACAGGCTGGTCGGCTTCCACCACTGTACAGAGAAACCAGCCCGGACAGGCGGCTGACTGAAAACTGATGGTGAGGCCGCTCTCCGAGCGGATGAAGGTGAAGCGCTTGTTCTGCTCCTTGTTCTTGCTCAGGTCAGTGATGTCAACTGCCTAGAAGGCAAGAGATGGACAGGTGAGGGTGAGCTTGGGAAGTTCTGCACTGCTCCTCCCCCTCCCACCATGCTGTGGCCCTCTGAGTGGCCCAAGTAGCTGACAAATGCTGGCCTGGAGAGCTGGCTAGAAACCATGGATCCCAGATCCCATAGGACAATAGTGATACAAATGGTTGTCCCATTGTCACCCCTTGACTTTGGAAACCTGGCCACACTGACCATGGGCCAGTAAGTCTGGTAAATTCCCAGCCCCACTAGCCAAGGCAAAGGCCCGTGAGACTGGTGCTGTCAGGTGTGAGCCTCTGAGGACAGGGGCTGTGGAGAAGGCTAATAGAGTCCACAAGCTCATTCAATATGTTATACACAATATCCTGGCCATCCCCCCTCACAGAACAGGTACTTTCTGTCCAAAGGGGTATCCATATCTACTGGTGGGGGGAATCGACAGCTCCATGGTTATGGTCACTCACATCTGAGTGACAACCTTGCCCCACAAGACCCTGAGACAAAGTCACTTATTCTCGGGACTAGGTGACCCACTGCTATTGCAAGCATCAGGGAGGAATGGGGGCCTGGATGGGAGGCCGCTTCACCATGCTACATGGGTAAGGACTGGAAAAGGAAACACCCAGGGGTTGGCTTTTCTACAAGAGGGCCCAAGTGGGTTGTGGTCCACAGTGGCTCAGGTCCTATGACAGATGACCCCAGTGGTGGTTCCCAGTGATGTCTGCCTTCTGCAAGTATTTATACCTTTTTGTAGTCCCCTCCCACACCAAGTACAGACTTAGTCACATGAAAGGCTTTGGCCCGTAGGAGCAGAAATTTGATAAGCACTTTCCCACTGAGGCATGCCCTTTAGGGAAGAGCCTTCATAGAAGCCAGCTGCCACAGTCACTGTAAGGAAGCTTGAGCTAAAACTGCTGAATGCCAAGTGACCACGAAGGAGAGGCTGGAGGATGAGAAAGCCTTCTAGGACATCCAGAGCCAGCAGGAGCGCTGTGGAGTGAAGCCAGCATGCTCCTCCCCAGAGGACAGAACTACCCTGCTGGCCCCTATCCACCCATAGGACTGGGAGAACACGCGGTTTTATTTGAAGCTCATCAGTTTTTGAGAGGTTTGTTGTCTGAAACACATGCTTACCTCCAGCTGGAGCCTGATGTCATCACCAGACTTGACACAGGACAGGCACAGCTTCCCCTTGTGGATCCCCAAGAACACAGTGTGAGGGTCAATGGGCACCATGTCTATCTTTTCTGGGAAGAGCAGAAGAAGGAGTGGTGAGGGGAGGCAGAGATGGGAAAGAGACCTTGATTATTTTTTTCTGTCCTCTCCCCAGTGAAAATCTTAAGGCCAGAATGACACCAAGGCCTCATCTTCCTGGCCTGCAACCAAACAGAACATCAAACTAATCACACTACTTAGTTATTCCTAAAGGACTGAGTCTCCTAGATTCTGGTCCACTAAGTTCGGTCCTCTCTTTCTCCTCAGACTATCCGTGCCTGGGTCACAGGTGCCCTGCTGTGGTGATGGGTCATGAGTGGGGCTCCAGGGAAGGAAACACCTTTTCCACACTTTGTGTGGCAGTAAAAATGCAATCTCCCCATGCTTTAGCAGGTCCACTGGAAAATAACCAGACTGACAGGAGACATAGGTCTCCTACCTTTTCAGAGTAAAGGACGGGAGAGAAAGCAAGGGATAAGGGAAGGGTGGGGAGTGGAGATTATGCCATTGTACATCAAACAGGGATGGAACGCATTAAAAATACCAGTGCTGAATTTCAAATTCTGCCATCTCCATCTGCCATCATCTTACTAGTGGGAGACCTGAGGAACAGAGTTCAAGTCCAAGTTCACCCAGCGTGCCTGGAGCGTGAACCCAACATGCCCTGTATGGTGCTCATGGATAAAGGGCATTGCCCATCCTTGCATACAGTGCATTCATCTGGGGAGATGCTGGGATTTGAAAGAGAAACGAATTGTTATGGGAGTGTGGGCAGGGTTGATCTTGCCTTCTGGTCCCTGCCCTTCCTAGCTGTGGTCCTGGGTCACTGTGCATATAGACAGTAGCCCTTGACCCAGATTCTACCTCTCCTGCCCTCTGGAGGCTGTATTTATATGAGCCTTCTTGTGCTCCCATCTCCCAAGTCTCCTGGGCTTCAAACTCAGCAGGGATTAAGGAACTTGCAGGGTTGATCAAGATGCTGCAGAATCGAGGGGCACAATGACCCGATGCCCACACAGCACTGGCTCTCCTGAGAACCACTCACCTTCTAATTTAGTATTTGGCATTTGCAGGTATCCAGCGACAAGTTGGTCATTCCTCAGGTAGAAAGTCTTCTGGTTGATATCCCAGATTCTGAAAAGCAAAGGGACCGAGGTGTAGCGGACAGCTGCTATGTGCCTGAACAGGACCCAGCACTCCCATGCCCCCCAGAGCTCCCCCCATCTGCAACCAGCTCAGCCAAGGGTGAGGCATCTAGCACACCCACAGCACAGAGGCAAAGACTCAGGCGGACACTAGTTCAGAGACAAGCTCTACTCTCAGAGATGATGAGGACTCCTTTCCACCCGTGCCCCTGCCTTGCTCCTACAACTCAGACGTCCAGCCCAGGCACCTCCCATTTCAGCAAAGCATGCTCTAGAGCAGTGATGGCGAACCTTTTAGAGCTTTCAATGATACAAACTGCCCGCTGTGGCACACATGCCATAGGTTCGCCACTACTGCCCTGGAGCATCACCAGTCCATAGAACCTTGTGGGCTGCAGAAATATCCCGTATTAGCCTTGTCCAATGTAGTAGCCACCAACTCCATGTTATTATTCAGCTCCTGAATTGTGGATGGTGCCACTGAGGATTGGAACTTTTACATTCTTTGTATTTTCTTTTAAATGTAGATTTAAATAGTCACCTGAGACTAGGGGCTACCACAGCATGGAAATTCAAGGGACAGAACAACTTGCACCTAACTCACTCTGAGCCTTGGACTGGGAGAGTCTGTTGCTAAAACATATCCTCCAACCTCTGGGATAGTTGCCCCTGGGAGCACATTCGCTTCTGCTCTAGTTCACCCAATGACCTGGTGGTGCCTCCCAGTCCTCTCTTCTTTGTAAGGGACCCTTGGGCTGAGAGCCAGGCTGACAGCAGACTTGGCAGCCATGAGATGCAGTAACCAGGGCTCTGGGCAGCATGACATTGAACCTGAGCCTCAGCTCCTCACCTCTGAAGTGTAGCTAACAATACCTGCCTCATCAGGAGGCTTTGAGCAGCCAATGAGCTCAGGGAGGGATAACTGGGCAAATGCAGTGCACTGCATGTATGAGCAATCGACCATTTGTGATTAGGCTTAGTTTCCAGAGGAGTCTCAGTCTAAAGGGATTCAGCATCCCTGCTAGAGATCTCCAGGGACATCTCTCAGGACTCCTGGTTGACCAGAGGAGGTACAGGTAGCCTCCCAAAGCAGATAGCTCCTGAGTCTGGGAAAGGAGGGACTTGCTTGGGAGGCATGTACACACTCATACACTCCGAGTCCTGAACTGCAGTCTGGGTCCCAAAACACATGGGGATGGGGGTCGCAGAAGAAGTCATCAGGATGACTTCATTCTGAGAGGGATGGCATGGCAGAGGGCATGCCCTGACAGCACGCTCATGATTATCAACATCACAGCCTGACAGTTTTACTACAGAGATGACACTTCCCAGGGCCCAGACCCAAGTTTTAAAATGATCATTCTTTTCAGGCACACTACAGTTCATAGGACACAGTGATCATATTATCTGAGCTCTTCATCTTCTCAACAACCCTGTAAGGTACACAGGGAGTCACCAAGAGCCCTGTGTCACAGATGGGGAAACCGGGTCCTCAGGTGAGTGAGAGCAGTTAGTCAGGGTTCTGGGCTGTGCCCTGCCTGGTACTCCCATCCCTGCCAGGCCTTAATGCCTGCACTGCTCCCTGACACGTGTCTCACTCAGCTGCCTGGGTCTCTGGGAAAGTGAGCCTGCCGGTGGTGGCCCTGGTTTCACATCTAAGGTCTTTCGAAATGCAAGCCCTAAAGACCGTGCCCGTGGTAGGCTGATTTTGAATAATAGACACTGCTTTCCAGGCCAAACCCAGTTTTCAGGCCCTCTGGAGCCAGTAGCCCCAAATGGCTGGGAGGTGTCTTTGTCTCTGGCCCATCAACCCCACATTCTCGAGACAGAGACAACCTTACCTAAAGGATTGCATCTTGTAGGGTCTTCTCCCAAAGGGGCGGCTGGCTGCCTCTGAATGGAACAGGAAGAGGAGAAAGAATAGGAGACTGTAGGGGCCTTTGCAGATTTCCATCTTGTGGCCGTAGCAAGGCAGTGGAGACTGCCATTTCGGGCCCAGAGCTGCTGCTTATAAAGAAAGTAGTCACTCACCAAGCCGAGCTGCTGCCATCCTTTCCTGAAGCGGAAATACCCTCACATTTCCAAAATGAGAAACCCTTGCTGTTGTCACTTTCAGCGCCGCTGAATGTCGCAATGGGGTGTTGTAACTAATCCCCTCCCTTTTTCCCCTGTGCAATTTCCCCAAAATCGAGATTCTATTTCCCCTTCAATGACTTCTTGGGAAGAAGAGCACAGTGAAAACCAAATTCCCTGATCTACTTGACAGGTAGTCTGAGACGGTTTGTCAACTTTATAGAAAGCAGATTTGAGCAGAAACATCTCCCATTCTCCCCAAAGCCAAGTGACGGGGCATCCAACACAAAAGCCAGTTTCACGTCACTTTGTGTTCTTTGAATGAGGGAAAACCTGCTGGACTCTGGACTGGAAATTGCCGAACATTGTGTACAGGATCAAAGAGTAAACATTCTAGGCACTGTGATCCATCCAGTCCCTGGCATGATTACTCAGCTCAGCTGCGTCGTGTGAGAGCAGCCAGAGAGTCTGTGGATCAGAAAGCTCAGTGCTCTCTGGCACAACTTGAGGTACAAAACACTGGTCAGGCCAGGTTTTCCCTTAAATCTGCTGACCCTTGCTCTGAGGAGGGTATTGAGCCAACTCTCTTTCCACTATCCCGTCTATAGAGTCATGGTCTCACAGAAATGGAGTGAACTCAGCACTTGGGCAGGAATGGATCCAAATTTCATCTCTGACACTTGCCATTTAGCATCCTGTGACCTCAAGGAAGTCACTTCATTTATTTGAGCCTCTGTCTTCTTAATCTCAGCGCATGAAAATGATCATGTGCTCCTTAGAGTAGGAGGAGAAAAAGAAAGAAGGAAGAAAGGAAGGGGAAGGCAAAGGAAATTATTGGCACATAGTGAGCACTATCAAACGTGACCTTCTTTCCTTACAGTATTCTAGACATGCTGGGGAAAAGCTAAGCATGCTTCTATTTTCTGAATATATAAAAGCTTAAGGAGAGTTTTTTGCACGATCTACATGATGAGATTGCCATTGCAGAAGTGTGGATTTTAGCATTTTAGAACTAGACTGTGTCTTATTTCACCCTATCATTGTTTGAAAGAGGCCCAGTGAGGGAAGGCGTCTGCCCGTGCCCTGTCACAGAGCTTGTTAATGCCAAATGTATGCTGAGCCATCCAGGTCTTCTGACCCCTAGTTGCAGGTTGTTTTAGCTCAACACAGCTCATCTTGATGCATTTGACTTATTTTGAATCAACAAATTAGAGTCTATGTTCAAATGAGGGTTAAATTTTCAGCCAAGGAAGGAAAATATGAGTCTCCTAAATCTTTAAAGAGCTCCTCTTTCAGGGCAAACATTGCTGCAAATCTCACCCTCTGACAAGCCAAATGGCACATACATGTCCCTGAGTCACTCAGCCTCTTTGAAACATGGTAGAGAAATAACTGCCACCCTTGAGGGGCCATAGGGGTATCGGGTGGGGGTGTTCTGTTTGTTCATTTATTAGTTTAAACTGTTTTCAAAAGTGGTGGCTGAAGGAAGTGATGTCTATAACCTGTTTAGTTATTTGCCACTTCCAGAATTTGTTGAGTTAAAGTTTAAACCTCCTAGATCAGTTATTTGTCACCAGGGGATTAGCACCACCCTCACACCTGAGCCCACTAGCCCCAACACTGACAGTCCTCTCCTGTTCATCTTTCTTATGCTACCTCTAACCCCTTCCTGGATTTAAAAGCCAGCATTCTCTCAAAAAGTGTCTTGAAAAATTGAAGAAGTGGTTTCCAAGTATGAGAAGTTGGGGCTGCATCCTGGCCCCCAGCCTCTGAAAGCATCCCAAGCAATGGCTGCACCCACACTGCAGCCCTTGGGTTAATATTTCTCTGTTCCCAGCTCATATTAAAAGATAAAGAGATTTCTCCTGCAGAACAGTAGCCTGGGCTCCTGGACTTTCTCACGTCTGTGCTCTTTCCCATGGATTCCCACCCCTAAGCTTCCAGAATGTTCTTTCTGGGTCTGTGAGGAGGAAGTCTCTGGCTTAGACCTGGGCTGCATCTTCCTGTGTCATTTATGGGCTAAGCTGTCTCAGACAATGTGTGGAGCCTGTCTGGGTCTCAGTTTCATTATCTGTTAGATGAGGTTAATAGCAAAAGTCACATTGTGGGTTGCTGTAAGGATTAAATGAGGCCCTGCCCGTGATATAGTCACGTGGCACATGGGAAGTACTCAAACAGTAACAATGGCACATGCTTCTTTACCCCAAGTGGGAAAGATGACTCACACTGCCCCAACCTCTACAACCCTGCCCTTGTCCTCCCAGCCTCCCAGCTGTGCATACTGGCCCACCTTCCTTCCTCTGTGTATTGACCCATGCACCTTTTCCTACGTACTCACCCACCTCCTTTCTAGTTCCAGACCTAAAGGAGGGGCAGCAAAAAGGAAGAAGGGGAGCTCTTTGCCTCTCCTCACAGTTCTGGCTACAATTCCACTCTTGGTTCCGTCTTATCACACCAAGACAGTTGGTGTGCCTGTGAGTTCTGCCCACAAGACATCTCTGACTAAACTTATTCCCGGTTCTGAGTACTCAGCCCCCAACTGTGCTTCCTGAATGAAGCTTAATGACGGAGTCTGCCTTCCCAGTCAATACCTGGGGACTTCCTCCAAGCTTCTGGCCACCACAACTATGTATGCCTTCTACAAATTGTACCCAGACACTATTGACAACATAAATTACTAAGATCTGCAGAAAGGGGCTCTGTTAAGGCAAAGAAACAGAACCAACCTGTCCATATCTTAGGAGTGGTTATCACACAGCTGTGGAGAGACCAAAAAATATTAAGGAGAGTTTTACCACACCTGGACAGAGGGGTCTTGAGTCCTCTTCACAGTAAAAACTAGAAACCAACTTCACAGGTACCCTATGTTGATGCCTGTAAAGTGTTAACCATGACACTGGCCATATGGGGGGAAGTGTTCAATAAGTTTTAACTATTTCTCAATTTCAACTGATTATATTTTTCAGTTCTAGGATTTACATTTTGCTCCTTTTTCATTATTCTCTTCCAAAATTTTGAACCATGTCTTCTAAATCTTTAACATATTATGCACGGGTCTTTTAAAGTCTGCTCTTGGTAATTTCATTATTTGAATTCTCACTGGGTTCCCATCTGTTGCCTTTTTTTCTTAAATGCACAGGCTGTCTTGCACATAAGAAGCTATGGCTTGGATAAGTGTTCCCCAAAGGCTGATGTGTCAGTGGCTTTGTTCCCAGGGTGGCACAGTGGGAGGTGGTGAAACCTTTAGAGGTGAAGCCTACTGGAGATTCTCAGGTCAGTGGAGGTGTGCCTTCAGAGGGGATTGTAGGAGCCTGGAACCTTTCTCTTCCTGCTTCTTGTTCTTTGATTCCTGCTTGATGAAGTGAGTGGGTTTCATGATACCTCCTCTGTAGGTGTGATGTGGTACACCCACCAGAGGCCCAATCTTGTACTAGAACTTTCAAAACCATGAGCAACATAAACCTTTCCTCTCTTTGAGCTAATTATCACAGCTATTTCACTATAGTAACACAAAGCTGACTAGTGCAACATGCCTATTAATTTTTATAGCCCACTAAACACTGTTTATCAAAAACTGAGAGATGATTCAGAGTCCTGAGTGATGTTATCTTTACTCAGAGACAAGTTATTTTGTTTCTTCTGGGCAGATGGGCCAGGAGCACAGCAACTCTAAGTGAACTTTATGAAAACAGGTCTTGAGATGATTCAGAGGTAGGCTTCAGTACTGGAGAGGGCTTCTCCCTCTCGGATCAACTCCTAACCCTCCAGGTTCCAATCCAAACTGGGTGAAGTTTATCAAGGCTGCTCTTCGTTAGCTGAACATAAAGTACAAACTTTATCCCCTTCCTACCAACCAAGACCCATGAGCCTTCACAAGCTCAGCTACAAACTTCTTTGGGGCGATGGTGTTAGAGATTGAACCCATGCACAATTTGCACTCTACCCCTGAGCTAAACACCCATCCTGGCTGCAACCTTTTGAAACTTGCAAAAACACTACAGAGTACAAGGGTCCAATGCTGGGCTCCACCTCCCTGGGCCCCTGCAGGTCCTCAAGCCTTGGCCATTCCATGATAGTGCCAAAAAGATCTTTTAGAAATTCACTTTGTCTGGCATTTCTAGTCACTCGCAACAGGAGAACTGGTCCTTAAAAAAAAAAACCTATGAGGGGAGGGGATTAGGAGAAACAAGGAATCAGGATACATCATGTACAGGTGCAAGTTCCCTATGATAAAGGTGATAATTATGTATATCTAAATTGTATCAATAAACTTAATAAGAATAAAAAAACTATGATAGAGCCTGATGTCATCTTTTTAAAAAAGTCTTATTATTCAGAATGGCTAGAGTTTGAGGACCATTGGAGAACAGAGACAGAAGTGATTGAAAAGTTGGGTGGGATACAGAGAAAGGACAGCCTTTAATGCCACCCCAAGAAGCTGGAAATGTATCTTAAAGAAAATGGAATCAGAAGGTGCTGTCAGATTTGTTTTATAGATTAGGCTTGAATTGGAGTGATCAATTCCAAAGGCAAAAGAGCAACATGCTGGTAAAGGTTTAACAAACGGATCACCAAAGAAGTGTGGAAATGTAGCATTTACCAATTTTGGAGATGTAGATAATCCTACCACGGGTGGTTTCAAGCCAATAACATAATGTCAGTGAATGGGGAGTTCATAAGAGTTGTGTACAATTAGAACTTCCTGGCTCTAGCACCCAGCAGAGACAGGGAGATGTGGCTGCTCTTAGTTCTTCCTAGAGTGAAATCATCCCTTCATAGTGCAAGTCCAACATCCTTCCTTTGAGCTCTGATAGTTCTCCTTACAGGTCTCATCCTCCTTGGAGAAAATAATCCCTACAGAAAAATTCAATTTGTCAGGAAACCTTAATGAATCTGGATCTAAACATTTTCCCCTGTGCCTCCTGAAGTTGTTTTTGCATTGCCCAAGCACT